TTTAACACTATAATTATAATCTACGGTTACTATGGAGTATTTGAATGCAACAATAGCTTTACCGGATATGCACTTCTCAAGAAAACTGATCGTTCCGGCCCACATAACGTACAAAAACCGCCAATCAGCTGTGCTCCGGTCCCAGTGAAATTATCCCTATAGGAGGAAGCTTCAGTCAACAATGTATGCTTGGGCAAAAATTGTTTATAATGCAAACGTTTTTGTAATTGGCTATGAAAGCCATAAGACGGCGGGTGTACGGACCAATGTGAAGCGGAAGGGCGCAAATAGAAAGGTCACATACAAGAAAGCCCCTGGTAACGTAACGAAAAAGCAACTGGTCTGCTTTTCTTTTGAAATTCAGCATATTCTTTGCCAATGCTTTCATTTATATCATATTGACAAAGTGATATCTATTCAAAAGACATAGGTTAAATGCAGGTTTTTTGCCTCCAAAATTCCCACTACAACTGATTCTAGAAAGTTCAAACTATACCTGTAGTAGTAGTAGTCGTTGTTGTTGTTGGAGCAACAGTTGATGTAGTGGTGGCTTTAGGGGTGGTCGACGACGACGTTGACACTGGAGCCTCTAGAAGAACAAAGAAAAATATTAATTTCGTTATGTTTATTCTAGTAAACAAAGATTAATAAAACAATGATATGATAAAATGATGTAGAGGCATATGGGATGATTCCGGCCACTTGCATATAGTTTAATATTTTGGGTATTTTTCAGCTCTAGAACTAACGGTTCTCTATCCGTCGGTGTAGAAATCTCCTAAAAATCCGTCTCCGTTTTCGACTAGTGTTGAAAAGGGGCCGGGACCACCAAAACGGTGGAAATACCCTACGTGGCGTAACTCCGGCCGCTGAGCTATTGTGCGTGGATAATTGCGGCTGGTCCATTCAAATACAAGGGGTTTGGTGAAACAAACCTCTGCTTGACGAGTTTGGAGCTCGCCTTCTCTTCTACCTGTCATTCAGACCTGTCATGCAGAAGTTGATTTCGGACTTCAAATTAAGCAAGATAAAATTGAAACTAGAGTTGATGTTTATGAAACAAATGTCAAAATGCTGACAAAAGCTCATTGAAAAGCTGATTTGATAGCTTGAATTGCAATTGACTATTGTATTGTATGTACGGTGAGTATCTGACCTCGCTCAAAATACGATATCTCTCCCGTGCATATAATACAATAATCAATGATTGTGAACCATGAACATTCTGCATACGTTTTTGTAATATAAAATAAGTAAAATCTAAAAAAGAAAATATTTAAGACTGTACCTGCGTTTATCGGGGCCTGTTTCTTTGTTGTAGTACTAGTAGTACTAGTCGTTGTTGTTGGAGCAACAGTTGATGTAGTGGTGGCTTTAGGGGTGGTCGACGACAACGTTGACACTGGAGCCTCTAGAATAACAAAGAAAAATATTAATTTCGTTATCTTTATTCTAGTACAACAACAAAGATTAATAAAACAATGATGTGATAAAATGATGTACACACTTGAATTGTCGAAAGGAAAAAAGAGATTATCTGTTGGATGATGTGCGTCGGATTTTAAACAAATAATTGTCACTAGGGTAGAGATTCATTTCTAGCGAACGTCTGTTCAATTCTAATTAAGAATATATGTTTTCACCATCATCGTGATTTCCAAGTAGCACTGGAAAGACAATATTTAAAAATGGTTTGAAGTAGTTTTGCTTAAATTGGTTTAAAGCCTTTGTTACGGTTTAAGGAAAGCGGGAAGTTTCTACTGGTATTTATTCTCAAGGATTTGGAGAGGCAGCCACCGATTTGATAAAGTGGTATGAATAGTAATTTTGCTTGTTTCAGTTTCGGTGACCAATGCTGCAGTATCGTGAAGTGCTTTTTATACTGTGACGCTAAGTATTAATATTTGTTGTTCAATAGGGAAATAGCTTTTGGAGAAATAGTCTGATCTGCATTGAATGTAGGTCATAGAGTTTTTAATTATGCTTCAGATTTTTCAAAAACGTAGGAGCGTGAAAGATCCTTTTACGATTTCAGTTTTAGTTGTTTGGCCTGGTGAGGAAGAAAGACATTTTTCCAAGAAAGTGCATGTTTTTATTGCGACAAGTTCGATTTTGTGATTGACCTGCTAGATTACATTAGTAAGTGAAAGTTAATATCAGGAAAGGTTGCAGGGAAGACTCTGAAGTTCTCCGAATTTGACTAGGTCCTTACTCTCGAGGTAAACGCTGACGTTCTCGGACTTAGCGAGTTTGTGGTGCCCTGTTGCAGTGACGCTGCTTATCTTTCTTAGTTAGTAGTTTTTATAACTGAAGAAAGTAGGCATTTTGTACAATACGGACATGTGAAAAAGAACCATTTTGAGCCGAGAAGTGGATCTATAGCTAGCCCTGAGCACTGATGGATGATTTTGGATAGATGGAGGAGTTTATGAGTGGACGATAAGTAGCGAACAGAGTCAAGTGGATTATAGAATCAGTCCGAGCTATAATTATATTTAGTTAATTTTACAACAACTTCAAAGCGGTTGTAAAATTAACTAAATATAATTATTCAAGTCGAGTTTCACATTTATATATGACTTGGCTATAATATTCTTTTATGCGTCGTAATAGATCAGCATCAGCTTACTTTCTACTGCAGCGAGGCATGGAAATTGAATTGGTGGGTTATGTAATTCCGATTGTGTTGTTAATGATTTTACAGCTGTTGCTCCATCAATGTTTGATGATGCTTGTACAACAGCATTTGGGGCTAACAGAGCACCTTGTAAGTTTTGTTGTAGATTCATTGTTGTTGCTTGTGGACAATTCCATAGTGTTTTAGCTCGTCCATTCAAATTTGTTATCCATGATCCAACAAGATTACCCTGATTAAAATTAACAGCTGTACCATATAAATTAATTAAAATAAATTTACAATTTGCATTGTTTATATTTATTTGAATTTGCTGCACGTATTTGTTAGCTAGAACGGATGAACCAGATAAATTAAATATAGCAATACCATTACTGTCGACATTATTGACATTTAAATTCAATGGACTAGGTTGCCCTGATGGTATTGTGGCATTATTATTTGGTGTTATTTGAAATAATGAACTTGACAGCGTTTGCAGCCCGGATGTGATTGCTGCACATTTCGATGGTAGGTTACTGTCAACAAAAGCTGTTGCACCTTGGTTACCACCATTTAAATTAAATTGCAATTGATCTATTTGATATTGTGTTGTACCTTTTTTTGTTAATGTATGTACGGGGTTTGAACCAACGCTAACACTACCCACCTGAACATTTGGACTACCGCCACCTGATGGCAAAGCGCCATTAATTTCAAGACAAGGACTTTTAGCATTAAAGTTATTTTGATCAATATGTATACAATAATTAGCTTGATTACTCTTTAATGAACCACACACAATTGTTTGATTTTCAACATCAGACGTACTACTAAAATCTCCGGTTGTGATGACATTATATTGTGAAAAGTATGTTGCACTCACTGAATTGAATGGGCAGGCATTGCTTGATGTGGTTGCGTCACCACTCACCGGATCAGTTAGAGTTGTTAAAAGAACGATAGTTGAGATGTAATAAACCGGTAACATTTTTGTCGTTAAATATTGATGCTGCCTCAGGTAGTGTCTGCGAAGACCGTGCACAAATGATTTCTCTTTCCCTTGAACAGATGACTCCTATTAGAAGGCATTGGCTTTTTTCGTTTTGATCTCAAAAGGAAATAAAAAATATGCATTGAGGGCATGAATGATATCTTCAGTTCAGTCCATCTGTCGATACACTTGAAGACTTTTCGTTCTCACTTGAAGATTTTTCATTTTCTCTTTTGTTATTGATTTCATTATATATTATGAAAGAAGAAAGGGTACTACTGCGTACATCACTTAGAGGCCATATTATGAAATATTCAGACAGCCAAAAGAACAAGAAAAAGCTGAAGGTCCAAAAATGATGTTAACATTAGATTCTTTACTCTTTTGTTTTAGTTTGATATTGCGAGCTGTCTGTCGGTAGGATATTCGACCAGCTCTACTCATTACATGTTGTGAAAACTTTACAGAAAGTGACTGTTTGATTATCAATTACAGTTGGGATAAATATAACATGCTAACTAGTCCAACCGAGAGAGGAAAGATCGCAAAGCATACATGACTTGGGCAATCAAGTTACTGAGATGTCATTGTTAAAATATTATTATATGCTCTAGGTTCATATAGTTGTATTATCAGTGTCTCTTTAACTTGTCAAGCTTTCATTTCTTTCGTATGCACACTTGTTTCGTCTTAGTTCAATACATGATCATTGACGGTTGTCTAATGGCATACATATTATGAATCAGAATTTGTAATATTGGGTAGCGATTTTTGTAGCAGATAAATTATAAGTTTGCAGCTAATTTGGACATAAGCATTTTACTTCTATTTAGATATTTCGACTGATCATATAGTCATTGTAAACAATAAAAGACAACTTACAGAAAATAGAATGATGTACTACTGTTTACTGTAACTACAACTTTGACCTATATTTACTGAAAACAAAGGAGCAGAAAAGGACGAGAATGTTTCTATTTCTTTTCTATTTCTTTTTTACATGTGCATAAAGCGAATTTTCTATTCACTTTACATTTTATTTAAGTAATTTTATTCACACACAGAGAAGAGAATAGCATTCCTGCTAGCATAAGCAGAATAGAGTAAACTGGGGCAATTAGAAACGATTTTTTGCTCTTTGGACTTCTAATTAGTATAAATTTCTTAATTCTAATTATCTTTTTGAGATTTTTTACAGGTAGATAGAGGAAAAAGTCCTCTGTAGGCCTATCTAAAATACTCAAAGAACTGCTCGCCTCATGCGAACTTCCCAGTGTTTTACTGAACGCTCTAATGATTTAAATATAAACTCAATAAAAATGAAAATTCCTGAAAAAAAACTGAAAATGTTCCAAGTAATTCTATAACTTACGAGTATAATTATAAATCACTATGGACACAAATGAGAGAAATTCATTAGTGTGGACTGTCTAAAGACGAATTGACGAATCGCAATTTTTTTGAGCGTAAAATTGATACAATAATTCGCGTTTTACCATTGTTTTGCGAATTCGTAATACATTGCAAACTGATGCGAACTAACAAAAATGATGAAAAGGAACCAAAATGGTGCCTCTTTTGTTCCTTTCGCAAAATCGTAAATTGGGACGACATCGTAGGTAAGGAAGTTCAGATACCCACGAAGTCGTTAGTCGAATTGGTCGACTATCGACGAATTCGTGAAATGATCTTTTTGGTTCTCAAGAATTCGTAAATTGCCAAAGCATATCCGACGAATTCTTAAATAGAATTCGTAAATTCGCATTTTATTGTCAAGAGATTTTTTTTATGAGGTTAAGAAAGATAGATTTGTCTCTTCGCATCAATTCGTCGCAGTGAGGATGGCAGTGAGTATTTACACAACAGTCAAACGTGTTTTCGTCGAATGTAAAAAAATTTCTTGCCCTTGACATCAGTTCGCGGAGAATGGGGTGAGAACTGTGCGAATCGATGCAAAGAGACGAAGCTATCTATTTTTAACCTCATGGAAATGCGTCTTGTCCTTGACATCAATTCGTATTTATAATATAGACATATAGAATACAGATAGAAGAGAAGATAGAAATAGAAGATGTTTTATTACCATGGATGAAAGTAAAAAAGAGATCTTTAAATATTCCGTAAATGAACCAATCAATATTTAAGTAATGGTAAAAGTATCTATGTTTATGACAATAAAAAGAAATGTAATCAAAGAGCATAGTCGAAATCAGAATATTGAAATTATATCAAATTATAATCAAATATATCGGTTAATTTGAACACTTTTCGGCCAAGTTTAAATAATGGTTGTATTAGTCTTAGTACAGACAATAAACCCTATTCATTTCAGCATCATAGGGAGTTTGGATCAATGAACAAATCCAGGCTATTCAGTTCTAAAACTTCCAGATTATCCAATTTCAAAATCTCCAAAAAGAGAAAATATACCTTAATTGCCACAACCCTACATATCTGATCTGATAAAAAACCTGACGATTTAAGACTAACCAGTATGACTCCAGATGTAAAATGGATTATGGAAACTGATAACACATCTCAATTCAATAAATCATCTTTTTTTTCGAGTATTTGTGATAAATACAATACATTTAGGAATAAAAAGAAATAAGACAATAAACAGTTAAAAATCATCTAAGAACCAATCAGAAGTAGAAATAACTTGTCAAAAATGAATCTTACTAAAGCTGGAGCAGTTGAAAATGTATGCAATGGTGGTGCAGCATTCGTTAAAGAATATTTTTTCAATAATGGAATATTTGCTTCAGCAAGCAACAAATTTCTGTTGACGGCTTCAGTTTCATATGACAAACATAATATTATATTCGACTGTTCATCTAATAATATTCTGCTCAGTGGAATTGTTAATTCACATATTGCGAGCGAGATAAAAGAGAGACCATTAAGTAAATGGTTTTCACGAGTTATATCTAAGCATCCACTTGTGGCATGTGGAAAAGGGATTGGATAATACTTTTTTGAAGATGCCATTGAAGCAGGTTCAAATTGGTTTTTATCGCTCGATCCAAACGAAATAGGTGATCCAAATGATTATAGTTTTCAAAATTATATTTCATTAAATCAAAAATTTAAATTTATAGTAGAATTCGAGAACATGGAAGATACAACTGCGTCTGGTTAAATTGTAAAGGTTTCTTCAATTTTGTACAAAAATTATAATCAACAAACTTTGGTGTTTACTAGAAAAGAATTAGTATTTTTTGCGATAGTCCGTCAGCATAAGTAAAATTTTGGTACACTGTTGTATTGTCAAGTGCTCTTCTGTGATATTTTTATTATTTAAGATGTTTTTTCACAAAAATCATCTTCTAACAATAAAGATTTCCACCTTTAAATAAAAACTTAATAATACGATTATTGACACTCTCAACCACAGTGAACACGAATTCGTAAACTAATTTTACGGATTATTTGCGAATTGATCAGCATCGTGTTTGATCTATTCTCTGTCTACGAATTCGCAAGAAGAATTCGTAAACGTTTTTAAGAGTATCCGTACGAATTCGATACAGTTCGCATCAATTCGGTACGAATTCGCAAAATAAGGGTAGAACGCGAATTGTTGGATCATTTTTACGCTTAAAAGTTGCGATTCGTCAATTCGTCTTTAGACACTTTGTCCACACATCTCGATTTACTTACATCAACTAATTTTTTTGGCGATTTAGATTATTCATTTCATCTAAATCTCCACTTGGTTGAGACATATGTTTCTCAATAGGAATAAAATGTTTCTTTCATAATCGATCTTTTGACGCCATTTCTAAAATTGTGAATAATTTTATTTAAAGTTAAGATTGTTAGACGAGAAAATAAGGCTACTGATATATAGACTTGAATAAGACATTAAGCAGCTAAAGATGAAACTTGTAAGTGAGAAACCATCATATTATTAAAAAAACTCTTCTGCACTGTTTCAAAATGTTTTGTATCAACTTACGGTTAAGATAATGTAAAAGTCGTTTTTGCTCCATATCAGTACTTAAGTCGAGTACATTACATGTTTTACTTTTTTATGTAACAATAAAGATAATTCCCATTAAGATTTAATTCTTGTATAAAATTCTTTTTCTGAATACAAATCATCCATATTATTTGATAAACATCTAAATAATTAATAAAACAATTATACATCTAATTTCATCTTCTTTGTTTATCGTATAGTATAAAACCGAATTATTCTCAATGTGTTGTTTGACCATAACAAATATTCTGGTTCAATCGATTAAACCATGTTCTATATGACTATATTCGAAATTCATTATTAATCTAAAATTTAACACACAATAAGAATTAACTACGTTTATTGAAACAAAAACTATTTGTTCTTACGAGTGTTTGCTAAATAAATTTATTGTTTGAGCAAGAAAATTTGAATCAGAACGATCTCGAAAATGTTTTAAAAATACATTATAATCGATCTTATAGCCGAAGTCCTTTTAGTCAAAAGGTTGTTGATGAACAGCTGTTTTTCGCTGTTATGGCTTCGAGAAAAACAAAGGGTAGAATAGGTTCTAGTAGAACTTTTTCATAACTCAATGAGGTCTACCTGTGTTGAACAAATCGTGGTAGTATGATAAGCCGTTCTGGAGATACGTGGGAGAAAGTCGCGGTGCTCTTTACACCATAGAAAGTTTAAATGATTAACTGCGTCAGCTTTGAAGTGCTCAGCAAATTTATTTAACAGCTTGAAATCACATTTTATTTTAACAATGTACTGAGTACAGATAACGACAAAAAAAATATCGTGTTAATATATATAATACAAAAAAAATTAATAATGTTTCCTTTTTTCGTTTAGTTTTGCTCTTTGGCTCTTTTTAAACATATTCAATAATTGTGCATCTTCAATGGACAGTAATTCAATAATTTTTTTGACAGACATAATAATATCACATTTTAATGGAAGTGAGAGAATGATTTTGTCCGTACGATCAAAATAATAATACTCCAATTCACTGACCAAAGAATTTTGTTCGTAATTCACACTTTTTAATTTTCCAAATCGGTCAAAAATATCAATTAGGATTGTTGTTGTTGTTGGTTTGTTTCAATCAACTTGAACTTTTTTCGTTATTAATTTTTCTTCTAATGAAACATCTTGCAACATTCTTTTAATTTTAATTCGTCTTTTATCAATATAAATTGGATTAGTTGCATAATATGTCACCAATGTTTCAACACTTTTTCGATTAATATAAGATACAAATGCCATGCTACTAAATATTCGTTTTTCATTTATTTTCTCATACATCATTTTAATCGATACACTACCCCCACCATCACCACCTAGTTTTTTGAACATTTTTCGTATTGTACTTGTTTTAGTTCTATACCATATATTACAAACAAAAATATCACTGTTTCTTGTTTGTATGCTAAATTTAGCCTAGAATTTGACAAAGATAGGTTTGAGCTGCAAATGATCTTTACTTACGAAATGTGTTTTACAATCGCATTAGTTACAGAAAAGTCCAAGTCTTGAAAACCTTTACTAGCTCTTGGTCTATCTACACTATGATGATTCGATCTCTACAGGCGGTCACTCGTTCCATACTAGATCATCACATACTTACAATATTGCCTCTTCTTTCATCTGTTGAAATCAAAGGTGATACTTGACATGTCGGTTGTTCCGTCTTAAGCGGACTCTGCCGCAAGACAAATTGAACCGGAGAGCATTCCGACGTGGTTGAAAATGAATCTCGTTGTGGCAACTAAAACAAGGTGTAGACAGAGGCGCAAGCCACGAAAGAAATGTTTTTTTTACCGTAATATCGACCATATTTTGAATAGCATGTTTTACCAAACTATTTATTCTTAAACGTTGTTTCTTAAAAACTTTTTCAACTACTTGTGTTGAACTATAGGTAGATAAAAACCACACACCTTTACTATAAAACTCATAACTGCCTGTACCTGTATTCCTCTTTAATAACAGTAAATAAAACCTCATTTGGCACAATAGAACTAAAAATAAAAAATCCTCCGTTATTATTATGGTTAATTTTCCGAGTTCGTTTTGGTGTACCTACTATTCATTTACATCATTATCAAACCCAAATCTAAATCTCCATTCAACTAGTAATTTTAAACGTTCCATTTGTGCATTTGTAAACGTTAAACGATGTTTTCCTCGCCGTTTTCTCGATTCATTTTCTAACCGATATATTCTTTCATGTATAAACATTTTCAGTTTCCTTGGAACAAATACCTATAAAAGAAAAGTCACTAATATCTTAATCTAATTCTTAAAATACACCTACTTACCATATTGTTTAAGTTTCTTGTTTCAGACATATTCAAAACCTCATTTTCTTCGTTTAAATCAATTTTTAGCTTTAGTTTGTGATACCTTTTTTGCACTGGAATGGTGTCAGGGCATGCGTAGGAACATTTCCTGGCACTTAGTTTCGCCACAGCTCTCGGTCAGGTTTTCGAGGCCTGTGGTCCCCCTCAGGATTTTTGAAAAATTTTTTATTTTCATTTTCAATTAAAAGCGTCCAGACATATGTAATCGACGGTGCTGATCACGAATATTAACATTAGAACGAACAAAATGCCTTTACTTCGGCGAGAGCCTAAAATTACTCGTTTTTTTCAAAATCCCTCAAAATCACATATATTTTTTATTTCTCCACCCACGATCTCCAGGATACTTAGAAAAGTACACCGTTTGACGCAGAATTTTACGCTGCATCCGATCTTGTTATCAGACATAGTTTTGAAAATGTTCCTAAGACACCATTTTAGAAATACGACCCCAAAACGGGTAAAGGGCGTGGTGGTATCTCCGATGATGATGATTTAACAATGATATTATCAAAATTAAAAGATGAAAGTTATTCTCCGCTGAAAGTCAACATTGTCTTAAAATATTATCTGGAAAAATTATACACAATGATATTTCTGATAATATTTGTTCATCGTTCGAACGTGGCCTTGAGGCATTAAAAATTTATATTGAACAACGTCTTTTACTCAGAATTGTGGCAATCGATGAACCACTGAAAGCAGTGATTCGACTGAGTGGTAAGTTTGTTTTCTCAAATATGAAAAGCTCTTTAATTTTTTTATTTTAGAAATTCGTGATACTGATATCTATGTTCCTGGTGATCTCGCTTCTGCTTGTGGACGAAAAACAATAAATAATATCACAGATATCAACAAAACGTTGAAGCAAGTCGACGATTATATTGGTCGAACGATAATACTAGCTGAAGATCGTCAATTATCGTTAACGTCGTTATTTGCACATGAATTTACTACAGCACAATTATCATTGTGCGACAAAGACAGCTTCGATTTATTGAATCAACAAAAAAAATCTTCTGCTATCGATTACCTAAAAGAACAATCTCCATCGTCATTCTCTATGACTTGCCCAATAAAAAGTAAGAATATAAAACTGGCGTTAAGCTCTATTCTGGTTTTTTCGTCGCTTAGCTGATCGATGTGCATTGGGTATTGATGGTGGAAGTTTATTGGAAATAAAACCAACTGTTCCTTCGTCGACCGTTACGGCTTAGGCAATTCACTTATTACAAACCACAATTAAGCGTTTATTTGAATGATCGAATTGATATCGTGTTTGATACAGCTGGAAGCAAAAAGGAAAACGCATTCATCAAACGACATGGTACTGGAAGTGAAATCAATAATTATGATTTAAAATCAGATGACGTATTAGAAACAAAATACCATCGTTTCTTGCACAATAATCGGGCAACATTAGCTGAGCGTATTCGTGAAATATGGTGTGAGCCCGCAGTGGTACAATTGCTGCTAGAAGACAAAATCCTGGTAGCGGCAGGCCCAAGGGAGACAGCCGTCACATTGAAGAAAAACTTGTCACCACAACTAGATCACAAGCTGTATTCAAATCACGTAGAAGCTGACACTCGAATAATGTTGCATGTTAACGTGTTGGCAATTGATGAATTCAAACGTGTCATTATTCAAGCAAGTGATACGGACGTGGTACTATTATCAATTGGTCATGGAAAGTCAACTGGTTTAGAATCATTAGTTGTTAAATCATTCAACACCATGAAGAAAACGGACACGTATATTAATTCAACTCGTACTGCAGATGAAATAAGAAGAAAATTCAAAATTGAACCGTTTGTACTTCTAATACTACACGCTCTCTCCGGGTGTGATACAACATCATTCATTGGAAACGTCACAAAAATGAAATTATTTCGAACATTTTTTACTGACCATCAAATTTTACTTCATCTTCACAATCATTACGCGCTGTTCCTTCTTATTCATCACTGAACGAATAACTTACATTATTAGCCGTTATTTCATTTAAAAAACATCGTGCAAATATTGTTTCAAACCTGCCACCAACATCTGATGCATTTTATCATCATTGTTTACGTGCATCACAACAGATCAATATTTGGAAACAAGTATCTGAACAGGATATGGTAATACCGTCGATGAACAGTAATAATGGTTGTACAGCAGTGAACGAACAGTCAAAAATACAATGGGCATCGTTAGCGCCAACGCCATCAGAACCTGGTTTGCTTACTTGTGAAAAATACACAACAAACTGTCAGAGGGGTAAATGTGCAAAGAACGGATTTAAATGTACAATATATTGTCAATGTTTGTCCGAGAAATGCATTAATCGATCAAATACATCTGCAAGTAGATCTGTTGCGTTTGGAATTTTTCATTCGTTCTGTTTTTCTGCTTAGACGATACAACGTTTCGATTCCATTAGCTCAATTCAAGCAAAGTGAAGATGATGAATTCAATAGTTCGCGTAATGATGATGATTATGCTCCATCAACTCAAACTGACAATGAAGAAGAAGATTTAATAAACACTATTCGAGACATCGAGGTAATCGATCTTTATCGCCATTTCAGAACTGCTTTGAGTTTTTTTCTGCTAGAACAATGTATCCGATTTTGAAAACGATTATTATCAACCACAACCATAACAACCTGAACCAAATCGCAGATCATCGCTTAAGCTTATTGAAAGCGACTGGTATCAGCAAAATGTCAGCGTTAGTGAACGTTTGGATCACAGTTATTGCAAAAGTAACACAGAAGAAGAAGAAGACGAACAACAATGTGATGACGGTAAACGATGCAAATATGACACACTAAACGTAAGTGTTAAAATGGTTTTCTCTAAAATATATTCTGTTTTTGTCTGTGCCATTTTAGATTAAAAAACAACATAAAACACAACAGCAATCATTTACATCAATACTTATGCCGTTATCTGTAACAACTAATATAGATAAGAAACCTGAAGACTCAGTTTTTGTGAGTATAGAAATAAGAAAAAAGCTTTCTTTTCAATGCCGCTCTCTCCACCGACCGTTTTTTGTAAACGTTCCAATAATACTGTTTTTTTTTAGAAACACCTACTACCAACACCTCATCGTCGCTGTTATAAAAAATATGATTTCTTTGCAGACGACAGCGATTCGAATTAGCGGAAGACCTGAGACAATGACAATCGTTATTACCATCCAAAGAAATACTTTGAAGAAACAAGGTTTTTTATTGAACAGTATTTCGTTTGGTGATAAACGACTTTTTCTTTTATTCAGATGACTCTATGAACTGTTAAATTTTTTATGATCGGATTGTACTTTTAAAACTATCTAGTTTACTATTAAATGAATTCTTATTGGAAATGTAAAATGATTGTTCAGCCATCGTACTTTGTCGAGAATAAAAATAGATGTTAAATTTATTGAATAGACTCTTAGCCAAGATCAGAGAAGCAACGATTTTTAATATATATTGAGTATACATTTGAGAAACAGTAAATACTATTCCTTGATAGCCAATTCAAGGCAAAAAATAGTATCAAAGTATCTTACACACGTTCGAACCATTATCAAAAAAGTTTCTAGTGGTGATCCTCTATCATTACAGGAGGTTGGATTAAAAAAAGAGACTGAAAATTTTCAACGTTAAATATACTTAAAATCAAGTCTCTTTTCTGTTTACTTAGTACTTCTTTCAATCTCATCTATTATCTATTACAAAGGAGACCAATCTAAGAAGTTACTTGCTTCTATTCGAGGACGTATTAAACTCGATTTTGTAAAACGTATTTGTACAGTGCCATTGGATTAAAAGCTGCTGTGTTATATCCCAAAGAAGTGACTGTTTTTCTCTGTTTAGTTCAACTCGTATGTCATTGAGTAGCTTAAATTATTCAAATTCTTTTAATAAACCGATTTGTTCAAAGAAAATCAGTCAACGCGTAAATTACAGTGACGTAGTTGTACTCAAAACTCTAATCCATATCGGCGATCCAGTCAAATATGCTGAGAAGAAAGAAACTCGACCAGAAATTGGCGATGAGCCGCATGATCTCGTCGAAGTAACTGAGGAGCCTATAAGTATGAATAGTATCAAGTTTGCAGTTGCTCCGTTCATTAGTAATACCGATAGTATCTGCGAGCAGACACTTGCAAAGGAAGATGATGCTGACAGTGTGAAAGCAAATATAGAACGGCAAGATAAACTTAAACATTATTTTAAAAAGTGGCTTGGTTTAAAG